GGGGGGGCGCTGCCCTGTGCTCTGTGCTTGTCTGGACTAGTCTGTGGTCTCCACGTTCCCAGGACCTTCAGGACCCACCTTTCAACAGCTTCTGGGCGAAGGTACTTCCCAGTTTGCTCACATCTTGTAGTTTGTTAGTCTCAATTTCCTTGTTTCATACTATGCTTATATGTTGTATGAGCAAAATATATCACAATTTTTAAACTCCTAAAATAGTCACAGTTCTGTTTCTGTGCAAATGCCTTCACCTCATTTTTTAAAAGCAACAACCAACCAAAACCGTGGTGATTCCTCTGGTCTGCTTCATGTGGTCATGTCAGGGTTCGCGCCCTTGAGAGTGACGTGCCGCATCATTTGTTCCTTGTATGGATGGGAGAAGCTTTCTTGCTCTCTCAGAGTGGCCACAGCGTGCCCTGAGGACAGGTCACCTGGTGGTCACACAGTCTTAAGCCAGATTACAAGGCTAGAGTGTCACCTTAGGTAGGAAAGGGTGTGACTTTGGTCAAGGTCACTGTAATGGTTGGCTGGAGCATCCTTTTGTGTTTGGTGCTGTCTTGATGACACCAGCCCATGAACTGGCTGTCTGAGGACACTTTCCACCTCCGCTTTCTTTTTGTGTGATACATCGCAGCTCCGTTCTCAGCGGTACAGACTTACCCACCTGGAGGAATTCCATCTTCACTGCCGTTTCCACTGTGGCAGGGTCAGGAGCCTGCCAGGGGAGGCAGCGTGGTGTACGGGGGCAGCTTCTGAGGTGTGCATGGCCCTCAGAGGGGCCATCTGAGAAGAGGGACAGGCGTATGGGAGGGTCGGGGGTCCCAGGTCCCTTCCTAAATCACCCGCCCTCCATCTGGGCTAACAGGGCCTGGACTGCCAGCCTCGGGTTTATTTAACAGATTGAGGAGTGTTTTTATTTTAATTATGTTAGGACAACTAAGAAAAACGAGTAAAATGTTACTGGCTCCGTGACACCCCTAAGGTGGCCAGTCCGCTGCCCGGTGGTGCTGGTGTGCCCCTGGGGGTGTCCCGGGTCAACGCACACTCACCTTCCAGCCTTCAGGGAGACTAGGCAGTGAGGGCTGTCTGGATCAGACCTCGCCTCTGGCCATCTTTTGTTTGGGACACTCACCGCTGCTTATGCGGCTCACTGCCCACATCTGTCCACCCGCCGTGGCCAACTCTGTGGTTCTTTCATGTATTACGTAGAAGACTCTTCACAAGGAGATGCCTCGCTCCCAGCGGCTGCAGCTCATCTAGGGACGGCAGGATAAACGTTTGCTTCTGTGCCTTTCTCCCGTGTTAAGATAACAGACTGCCTGGCATCCTTTCGATCCATCAGCGTGTATTTTTGTCACATCATTGTGAACTCATGGACTGAATCACAGGTGAAGGTTTCAGCTGAAGCTCAGAGATAATTATTCCGCCTGTGGCTGGGGGAGCAGGGGGAGCTCTTGCGGGTCGGCCCTGGCGTCCTTGATGTGATCCGGGAGTGTGTGGCTGTTGCCTCCCTATCCGCCAGGACAGGCTGCTCGGGGCTCATCATCCTCGTTTCCTGCCTCAGACCTGAGGCTGGCCATTTCTGCAGGGGGCCCTGGTTTCTTTTACTGACCAGAATGCCGCCAGTTGCAGTGCTCGTGAATACCGACTTGGCCTCTATTTCTAGATTCTTCGGTAAACACAGCTTCATGCTAGTGCTTCTCATTCAAATGCAGGACCGCAGGACTTTTTTTAACTTAAGGTTTTCTGTATGACAACCATATTTCTTTTCTTCTGCCACCTATGTACATGCTAAAGATTGTTTTTAAAGGTTACATGCTCTTTCTGACCAGCGGTCTGCGTGTTCGCGGCGCACACTGACTGGTGCAGCTGGGGCTGTGCCGCTGGACCGGGAGCCGGTGCCACCGTCCTCCACGTGCATCTGCTGGCAGGCCCCGGCCCTGCGTGCTCAAGCAGTCCTGGGCATCAGGTCTTGGCTCAAGTGCTCCCGTCCTTGAATGTCTTATGCGCGTCCTCCTACTCTCTTCTGGCCCCACCTGCGGATCAGTCCTCTGACGAGACTCTGACTGCCCAGGACGCCCCAGGATTGTTTTCCTTCCTGCCCGAGGCCCGGTGGTTGTTGCTGACGGTGCCTGAGTGCTGGCCCTGCAGGACCAGTGCCCTCGCCCAAACCCTGCCTGGTCTTCCTCCAGGAGGGCTCTCACCCCGCCCCAGCTCTCCTTCCTCCTCCAGACGTGCCCTTCCTCTGCAGCCCCCGCAGCTCCTCGCCAAAGAGCTGCCTCCCCTGTCCGCCTCCTCCGCGCAGGCTGCTGTCTGTCGGGCCCCTTTGCTGGGTCCTCCTTTTAACTTAGCTGTTTCTGAACCAGTTTCTTCCGTTTCTGGTTCCTGAGCTTCGTCCTCTCCTCCGAGTCTCTCTGTTGTGTGTGTGCTGTTCTCCCCGTCTCTTGTCATTTCTTGATCTCTTCGCCTGTTTGACACGGAAGGTCTTGCTTTCCTGGGGTGACAGTCTGCATTATCGTTTTTTCTTAAAGTATCATGGTTTTTGCTTGGTCATTTTTTTTAAAGATTTTTTATTTATTTGAGAGAGAGAGAATGAGAGAGAGAGAGCACATGAGAGGGGGGAGGGCCAGAGGGAGAAGCAGACTCTCCACTGAGCAGGGAGCCCGATGCGGGACTCGATCCCGGGACTCCAGGACCATGACCTGCGCCGAAGGCAGTCGCCCAACCAACTGAGCCACCCAGGCGCCTGCTCACTCATTTTTCTGTGAAATTACTTTCTTGAGCTTCTACGAGGCTGGTTCGGGGCAGCTTTCCTCAGTTAGCTCCCCTGTGTGTGGGGACTGGCCTGCCTGTGGGTACCCGTGTGTGTATGCATGTGCGTGTTGTGCCCACCAAGGAAGTTTGCTTCCTAAGGTTTCCCGCCTCTGTCACTCTCCCTGCTTTTGTCTTCCGGTCTCTGGTGTCCTTGCCGCCCACTCCCCACTGCCTGTGTGGTGAGGCCCTGTTTAGGAGGTGCCTGGCAGGTGGGTCCTGGGATGCGTGGGGACCCACTTGGGGCAGGTCCCTGCACCCACCTCCTGCTGGTCACCAGCGGCCCAGTTCAGGGTCTTCTCCCCTTGTCCTGGCCAGGCTCTGTGGTGAGGACCTGCTGTGGCCCCAAGGCCCCCGTTGTCCCATCCGCCAGAGACCCCGTGCTGCTCTGACCCCCACAGCCTCACAGGGCGAGTGGCTGCTGGTGGGTTGTCCTCTCCTGCCTGGACGGCACTATAAATGCTGCCGTTGGTTTGGGTTATGCTGTTCAGGTACTTTTTCTGTTTTTATGTGAAGATTCACAGAAATTTAAAAACCATGCTTCCGGGGCGCCTGGGTGGCTCAGTCGGTTAAGCGTCTGCCTTCGGCTCAGGTCATGGTCCCAGGGTCCTGGGATCGAGCCCCGCGTCGGGCTCCCTGCTCGGCGGGAAGCCTGCCTCTCCCTCTCCCGCTCCCCCTGTGTGTGTTCCCTCTCTCGCTGTGTCTCTGTCAAATAAATAAATAAAATCTTAAAAAAAAAAAAAAACCATGATTCCTCTCCCACATTTCCAGAACCCCTCCAAATGCCCAGGAACTTTCCTTGTCATCAGTCGCTTGTT